TATATTATCTATTAGTGTTGCATGCTGGGTTGTTAATCTACTTGGTTTTGTAATTTTTGGGTATAAACCACATCTATATAATGTGTTAATAAACTCCTCCGTTCCTGTGTGCTTGCTAGGATTCAACAAATCTATATTAAAGTCACCACATATGAACATTAATTTATGACTTATTGACGAGTAATTTTCTTCCATCCAGTCATTAAATTTTTCTATGCTGGCTCCAGGTGCTCTATAAATACAGCTTATTACAACATTCTTCTTTTTTTCCAAAAGTAGTTGAGAAACTAAATATTATGTTATTTAAAACTTTGGTGGCAAAAACGTGTGGAAGCTAAACATAAATAATAAGGCTATAATAATAATAATTTGCCAAGCAGATTCCGTGAACTCCTGTTAAACCCAGACCAAGGTAATTCTGTCCATAGAAACATGTCTAGATTTCAGACTTGATATTAAAAGTGAACTGTAAGCCTTTCCTAGTGGAAAACTGTGCTGCTCACAACAGCCTTCCCTTTGTCACCTGAAAAGCAAATCACATTCTTATTTGGAGGATACTGAAGTCTGAACTTTTTCTCCTAAATGCTGCCTTAGGAAAAATATGGAGCAATAGCTAAAAGTGCTTTAAGAGGAATTAGCCCTGGAGCAGGGGAAGAAAAGAGAACATGAGCGAGATCTTACTCAGAGCTCAGTGGTTTCTCTTGAATGACACAAAGTTCCAAAATCTAAGAGGAACTTCATAGTCTCCTTAAATCTCATCTATTATCTAGCTTTAATATCAAGTAACATAAAGGTTAGAAATGTATATGTGCTTTAACAGCTCTACATTTGCTGGCATGCCCATGGGAGCAACAGGAGGTTCACACAAGGAGCACAAGGAGCTGGGGATCAAACCACCAACCCTACAATGACTGGGTAAACCCACTCTATGAGCCTAGCAGCCAACTGCCTTTTGGGCCCTAAATTAATATCCATCCATTATCTATACCGCTGATTCCTGAATAGGGGTGCAGGGGGTTGTAACCAATCCCAGCTGACACTGGGTGAGAGGCGAGGTTCACCCTGAACAGGTTGCCAGTCTATCACAGGGCTGACATGTAGACAGACAACCACACACACACACACACACACACACACACACACACTCCTAGGGGCAGTTTAGAGTCACCAGTCAACTAAATCTGCATGTCTTTGTACTGTGGGAGGAAGCCGGAGTACCCGGAGAGAAACCATGCAGGCGCAGGGAGAACATGCAGGCTCTGCACAGAAAGGCACTGGGTTGGCCGGGACTCAAACCCAGAACCTTCTTGCTGTGAATATATATTTGAAATTATATTTAGAGATAAAAGATGATGAAACATGATTCTCCCATGTCAAGACACAATATGTCTATCTGAATATTTGATTTTTTGATGTATTAGATTGCATATCTCTGTTTAAATGATGATTTTAAAGTAATCTTCTGTTTTTGACCTTTCCATGAAGACGTGCTTTGTTCCCATATGAGAGAATCAGACTCTGTTACCTTGTTCTCCTCTGACATAGACTGGCATGCAGGTCCTAACCACCTGAGGGATGAATGTGTTTGTCTTTATTTTGCCTCTTCTACTTCATGGTGTTCACTTGCCACCTCCTGACATTAGATCCAAATGTTGTTGGGAGCTGTCAGTGCACTGTGAAGATCTGTTGCCTCAGTTTGTCATAAAACCTCATTTCTGAACGACAGCTGTTTTAGTGCAATAAACATAAATATCCAACAAAATATAGTATGACTAAATAACTTTTCTGAAGATTAGTCACATATTTAACAGTTGTGTATGCTGTTAACGGTGTTGACAACTTTGTGAAATCCAAAGTAAGAATTTTGAAGAAATAAAATCGGATGTTATTTATGAGTGGGAAAAACGTGTTCTTGGATCTTGATACTTTCACGAGCTGAGTTCTTTCAAGCAAAAGGTGTGAGAAAAAAACCTGGAACATTTTAGGAAGACAGTTTCTCAAAAGCTACATTTTAGAAGTATGAGAAACTGATCAAACCCTCATACAGGTGTTTAAACAATCTAGACAAAGATAGAAACTTCTGAATTTTCTTATTCACAGAAACTTTAAGTGTCATCTTTAAAACCAAGCTTTACCTTTTTACATGTAACAGCACAAAGGGAATGAAATTGACGTTTTGGCTACCCACTACATTTAGCACATCTTTTTTAAAATCTTTCTTCTTCTTTGTGCTCTGAATATGGACTTTGTTTTAACTCTGCCTTTGGTCGCGGAAAAATGTTTCTGAGCCTAAAGCTGTAAAATGTGTAGCAATGAATGGAAAACCACAGAACAATATAGTTGTCACTGTATATACAGTAGGGGCAGCACGGTGGCACAGTGGTTAGCACCGTTGCCTCACAGCGAGGAGGTTCCGGGTTCGGGCCCCACCTGGGACCTTTCTGTGTGGAGTTTGCATGTTGTCCCCGTGCTTGCGTGGGTTCTCTCCGGGTACTCCGGCTTCCTCCCACAGTACAAAGACATGCAGATTTAGTTGACTGGTGACTCTAAACTGCCCCTAGGAGTGTGTGTGTGTGTGTGTGTGTGTGTGTGTGTGTGGTTACAGTACATGTAAATATAGTGAACCTTCCTTTTGAAAAGTTGCTATACTCACTCCTGGCCAGTGAACCCCCTGCTGAAACCACAGAATCCTGCAGGAGAGTGCAGTGTATAAATGTGGAGCAGGGTGCCGGTCCATAGATGACCTTTTCTATGGAAAAAAGAAAATAAAATAGTTTAGCATTAAAATGTTAATATTTGAACCTAGGTGCTTTCTTAAAACACAGTTCTTAGCTGACTGTCCTCATCAGTGGTTGGTCCCCATCTTCCCCTTGTTGACTAAGTGATCTCCTTTCTGTTTTGACTTTCAGTGTTTCTGTATATCATTATTACTTTTGTCAATCTTATCTCTCTGTCTTGCTTTTTCTCTCTGCCTGTATCACTTTCTCTTTCTCTTTTCTGCCGCTGGGTCTCACTTTTCTGTCTCTGATATCCTGCCATTGCTCTCTCACCTATCACTAATCCTGCCATTGCTCTTCTTTATTTCTCTTTGCAGTTTCTCTCTGTGGTTTTCAAATCCTTCCTCTCTCGCGCCTGTTCCTCTGCTTCTGCTAATCCTTTCATTTTCCTTGTCTCTCTGTTGTCTAAAAGGCAGTTTAATTTCTTCTCTTTATGCCCTCGTTTTGTCTCAGCTTGCACTTCTCACAGTTTTTAAAAAATCATTTGTATCTGTAGTATCACAACTGGTTCCTTTCTTTGTTGTTTTTTGATGCATTGATTGGCAAAGAGTTCACAATTTTTATGAAGATATCATGTAATTAACATTTAATATTTTATAGCTGACACCGACCATGATACATGATATTTTAATTGTAAAGGCATACCATCCAAAAAGGCGTTTATACATTTCACTGGTTTGCCTCAGGAGAGTAACTTTATGAAAACATAAAATTAAATAAAAATACTTCAGCTCAATTTAAAACAATCGGGCAACTCAAAATATTTCACTTGTGAGTTTTTCAAGCGACAGCGGGGTCACAGTTCCTCGGAGAGCCATGTCAACCCAGTAGAAAGGCATGCTGGGATGCTGGGAGGCATATCGATCCACCTGTAGCATCCAGCTGTTTGTTTACCAACAACAAATCAATGCAGCACTCGGCTGGGGGCCGCCATGCCTGGCCTCTGGCCTGCACTCACACACACACTAACTGGAGTCTGTCTGTGAACAGTTCTGGACTAAAAGAGAGTTGTTTGGGTAGAAGCTAAAGAGAGTTTGATATTTTAGTTTTTAACCACAAAATTTCAGCCCATTCTTCTTCCCAGCTCGTTACACACTGACGATATGTCATACGGGGGCTAATGTCTCATACATGTTCACATCGGTGTGCATATCCCAGGTATGCACACCGATGTGTGTACATAGGGTTTTTAAATTACTCCAACCTACCCTCTGTGACTGACTGCCAGAGCAACTGTTCCAGCCGTCTGCGCCTTCACTGTTAATCCACCCTCAGCAGTACTGGAGGCTTTGAGTTTTGACATTTTCACTGGAGAGTCAAGACATGCCACATTTCTCAAGTGGCCATATAACACAAATGGAGCTGGGACCCGACACTCTATGTTGTTATTGGAAAATGAGTTTTCATTGTGGATGTATATTTATTGTTATTGTTATTTTACATTGAGGATAAAATGCCCACTAAAACCCTTATTCTGGGATTCAGAAAATCCATGTTGTCTCAGTTCTCCAATGGAACTGTGTCCAGTAGTGCAGTGGGTTGGCACAGAGCTCTACAAACATCTTTGTCATGCACTTTTGAGTGTAGATTGATGGGCAAAATGCCAATTTTATCCTCTTGATATTAAGTCTACAACACAATAACTTGTTCAAAAAGTGAAAGGGATTGATGATTTTCTGAAGCCACTGACATACAATAGATTGTTTCATTTGAGACAACACACTAATTTTAATGTTCATTGTTTAAGCCAGCAAAGGAAATAGTCAGCACCAGCTAAAAACTGGAAATAGATTATTGTCGCCTTTCCCTTCTGCTGCAACATGATTGGCTGCTGTCAGATAGATTCAAAGCATTTTGGTTGTCACAGCATGCATTGGACCATTGATCAGAGTCCAGTATACAGTACAGTATAGTCCTCCATGTCTCGGGATCCAGATACGTCAAGAATGTATGATCATGTGATTACTTAATTTGACACAGTTGTCCAACCCAAAAGCAAAAATGTTAGGGGGTTGATTATGGGTGGTCGATTTGAAATAGAACTATATTTGTATCAGGGATAATGAACAATGTGTAAGATGTGAGAGACATCTGTCATATCTTTCTCCCTGTGAATTCTGACTAAAGTCCTTGTTGACGGTTTTGATTGCAGGTGACCGACCATAAAGGCACAGTGAGGAGCTGTATGAGGCCAGCTGAAGAGAAGGCAGCTGGGGCCTTGCTCAGTGTTACACTCATCCTTTATGGCACCTATCACCCACGTAGAAGTACACACGGTATGTGAAACTGTCAGCTACTCAAACACATAGGAACACATAGGAAGAGTGACTGTGGAGGTCTGACACATGCGCTGAGTTCCCTCTAAAAGTCAAATAATTCAATACATCAGTTAATTACAAATTATACAATAAAGAATTCACTCTCCAACTCTCCAGTTTTCAAAGTGCAGCACAAATTCTAACCCTCTGCACCTGCCTTCTCTGCTCTTCTGGCTGAGGCACTGTAGTCAGAAGAAGTCATTCAGGCCACTGACCACAGGGACTGTGATATGTAATTACAGCGTGACCCCTGGCTGCACCTCTCCAATCCTACCCCCTTCTCTGCATTGTGTGTCAGCTCCCCTAGCACCCACGACCTCCTCGTTAGACACACCGGCACAGCGCCGTCTTCCATGTCCCTGTCGGGGGTTTTAGGGTTGTTAGAATCACCGAGGCATGTTGGGAGAGAGAGACACTGAATCAGACTTTCCTGTTGATCTATGTCAACAGGGGCTCCCACTGGTCACGGAGGTCCTGGAATATCATGGACTTTTGAAAGATAAGCAGGAAAAGTGTAGGAATTTAACAAATGTGCTAGGAAAGGAAAGTTAGGAAAATTTACAGATGAATTTATTTTAAACTTTATCACTACTACTCTGCATTAAAACCTGAATTTTGCCTTGGCTCTATTAAAGGTCAGATTACAAGAACTGAAGAATCTTTTTAGAAGGTACTCCAACTCAATTCTAGAGACATGGAAAGAGATGGGAAGTCATGGGATTTCACCTGGGGGCCACAGTGGGATCTCTGGCTCTCTTTCTGTGTGTGTGTGTGTGTGTGTCTTGCTCTGTTGATTTCTCCACTCTTTCTGTCAAGATGCTGATCTCTCTGTTGAGAAATCAATGGCTCTCCCCCTCCTCCTCTTTTTTTCTCTCCATCCATCCATGTAGCCCTCTCCATGTTCCTGGATCTAACCCAGGTTCAAGCTGTTAGTCAATCTGTTGTTTACACACAGACGCACACACACACTACTAATTCAAAGGTTCTTACAGTGTTGGTTCAGTGTTGGTGTCGGTTGCCCTCAGTGATGTCATTGTGTAGCATTTAGAAATTGTGAATGTCATATTTTTTGTCTGTTAAGCTTGAGAGGATCACAGTTCCTGTCCAGAGAGATTTAGTACTACTGGACAATCATCAGTTTTCACTGGACTTATTATAGCGATCTGTGTCTTGTTTCAGGTCAAATATGTAATTGTGATAGAAATTACCAAGCAAATAGCCAAATATATACTAATCTTCTGTGATACCTCATGTACTCAGCTAAAACCTCAGCACCGCTGTAATTCAGTTGAGTAAAAAAGGAATAGCCTACAGTTGCCAGTTTATTACGGACACCAATAAACTAATGCAATCTAATATAAGACCTCAATAAAGCATAAAGCCTTCCTTCATGCACAAACTACAGTACAACTAAAAATGACCATAAAGTTGAATCAGCACTTCACCAACAAGAAAACATGAACTAGGTTTATTTAACATACTGTTAAATAAGTATATAGAAGTATGCTGTCTTAATTTAAACAAAATTAAACTGATAATTTTATTGTCCCCTGTTGACGGACACTAAGGCACCAATGGAAACAGACTGATGTTTCTGGTGTCTAAGATATTATATCCCATTTTTTAAAAATCCCTGTAATTCCTGTTAATTTACATTTTAACCTACAGAATCTGCTTGCAGACAGTTTTATACATTTCTGAAAATGACAATATATAATGTATACTCATATATATGTACACTAAAGTATAGCCAACTGCAGCTGCTGCACTAAAACTGTTATAACTGACAGTGTCAGTAATATTGCTGCACATTTCCAAATGATGTTGTATTCAAAAAAACAGTAAGTCAGCAATCCACTTAAATTGTTCTCTGCCTCCATCCTTCATGCCTGTTTTATGCCAGGTACTCTGCAGTCTGCACAACATGAGCTTTACACTGATGATGTGTAGGATGAAGCTGCAGCTCCACCCTGGGTGTCTGTTGTGATCCAGCCTCATCCATGTGTATTAGTGTGTGTTTCTCCGCCTCTGTATGTGTGCATGCCTCCATGTGTGTTTGTTTGGCAGCAGGAGAAGGTAAATTGCTGTGATTATGTGGCAGTAATTGAACAGGGATAGTGTGTTTAATTGAGTTGTTGTTTCCTGATGTTTCTCTGTAGTTGCAGGAGCCGCTGCACCGACAGGTGCCTCGTCTCGCCTCTCAGAGATGAATGTTTCATATACCATCACACTGGCTTTGTTGTGTCTTTTTTAGTGCCATTTCTGTATGTTTGGCATAGTGGTGGTTTGCTTGGCCGAAGGTTGTGCGTGTGTGTTATG